TTTGTGATTTTGTGCTTTCTCGTCATGGTTATATCAAACAAAAGGAATGTTTCAACATATTATGTGAAATTTGGTGTTTCAACTCACTACCTGTCTATAGAAGCTTGGGGGAAAATGCACTTTGGCAGAGTTTGTCCTCATTCTTCTTCGGGAACTTTATATCTCCTGCATTGATCCACGTCTCCATTTCTGTTGGAATTTGTCCAATTCCCAAAGATGTCTGGCATATAACAAATGAATACCCCCAACCTTATTGTCACGATTGTCTGTGGAATGGTCTTAGTACAAGTAACCTTTTGGTCTTGGAAAAAAGTGTTTATCGCCATCGCAATTTTTCCTATTCAATAATGACCTTTTCCTAATTAGCAATACACTGAAATCATGGAAATTGAAGCTATGAAGCGCTTCCACACTTCCTTTTTCGAATAGTTTCAGTTTTGGTCTACTCAGAAATTCATAGGACTCATTTCTCTCCTAGCGCGCAATCGATCCAGAAAAGACGCTTCTTCAATCTATCCTTTCACGAAATGACCAATACCGATTAGATGATCAACCTGTTAAAGAACACTTCTTTTTTTCTCGTGAGAATTTGACGGGCTAGAAGTCACTGATGACATCAAATAACACCGACCCTTCCGGAAATTCAGCTGAAAGCTTATTATGGTATGGTATCAGCCTGGAGTTAAGGCCATGCTCTCATTTCAAGGTTATTATCATTAATCTGACGAGATCATTATGCTGAACATAGATGAGTCCATAAATAATACAGCGCCACTTAAACCCAAAATGCCCACCGATTTCAAAATGAGAAAATGACATTATCCGTCGGATGTCGGCCGGTTGGGAATATTCACGGATCGCTTCCTCATTTCATTAGTTTATCAATAAAGCGCCGCACAGAGGGGAAAATAGGCCAATAAACTAGTTCAGACAATGCGAGGTTTGGTTTCGTCGGCGACCCGAGTTGCCGAGGTGCTCTTCGCCCCGCCATCCGAACATCACGACCGAGACCTCGTGGCAAATGTCATTATCCTCCTCTTACTGGCGCTCTGTTTTCATTTCTACCATTCTCTTATTCCGTCACGAGTTACTCTGGAGGTGTGCATACCAAGTGTTCTTTTGTCAGGGTACGGTTAGACTGATCTAGAGACTTTGAGAATTTTGTGGAAGCACGAAATATGAAGGATCACGGGCTCGATTATTGCCCAGTGTTTGCATCCTTGGAAACCCTTTTCCCCTTTCGACCGAGGAAAAAATGTGTACCTAGCAATGATTGGTTAGTAATAAATGCAGGACCCGCGGAAAGGGTAATATTGATGCTGGTGTGGCTAACCTGGGTGAATGATACCAAATCTTTATTATCATTATAATCAAATCATGGTAAAAAAGAAAAAAGATGCACAGTCACGTGGTGTCGTTCGACCAATTAGGCTGCCCACATTCTTGAACCCGTTTTATGAAAACTTTTAAAGTGCAGACGATTGGGATCCAGTTAGGAAGTCTATTCCCATTATTGAAAATGAATATAAAATTGCATGGACGCCAACTTTTTTTTCTTCTGACGGAACCCTTCACACTTGGAGACTTCACTGTTTACACTGATGAATTTCAGGAGTTAATCAAGGAAGAAAATGCCGTATGGAGCCACTCTAGACACTTGTTTTCATTTCATTCCCTCCCACTTGCCATTATGAAACAAATCTGCGCGATCTCGCTATGAATCATCGTTCGTGTTTGTACCGTGTCGGTATCATGGTCTTTAGGAGTAATGTGATGGAACCAGATTTATTATGACAGATGTGGCAACCTGATGCTGCACTTTTAGTATCGTTTCTCAGCTATTGATAGTACTAGCGTTTTTATTCAGTCCTCACTGCTGTTTTACACCTGTATTAACTGCATCATTATATAGATGTAGGTTAACCACTGTTGCCGTTTTGAGTCTTTATACCATTACAAAATTTAAAAGTTACATTTTTTTTTAATAACAGAATTTTGACTATGACGGCAAAATAAATTGATAACCATGCTTTAAAGGGGACATTATATATTTTAATTTACAAAATATGAGTAACTTCGGTATAAGTCACAATGAATTAACACGTTCTCAAATTGCAACGGAAAGCTCAGATCCACAAAGGTATTAACCCTGCATGTGTTACAACAATTATTTTAAGCGCACGCCTTTCTGGCTTTCAGCAGATGCGATAATGCCGTTTTAAAATACGACGTTTCCTTCAAAGATGAGATACAAATAAAAAACTTGTCCATTTAATATTCTGGCAAAATGGTGAAATTTTTATTTGGTACTGTTTTGCTGACGATGGGTTTTTGTTCTTCGAAATAGAACAGAGTCTCTCAGCCCATCACACTATTGCAAACATATCTTTGCTTTATTCTGTGAACAATTTATGATAAATTCCTAAATAAAGTTCGTTCATGGAATTTTGAACTATTATCATCATCATCATCAGTGATGACCTCAATACATCTATTAGCCAACTAATGTTTTGTACGACCAGATAGTGAATGCAGTTCATTAATCCTACAGTGTGTACTAATGAGAATAAAAGTAGCGTATCAGTCATAATAATTAGTCAAAATCTGCAATTTCTATTCATCGTTCCTGTGCACATGTTTGTCCCATTGTCAGTCGAAATCCTCACTTATTTTTCAATTATGCTTGACCTAGATAGTAGCTAAACGATGCCACGATTGTAGGTCACATGTCTAAAATTATCTCGGCAATTAATCTATCACCCGAGCATTCAAACCTTGAAGTGCGTAAAGATGACAATAATTTGGAACAAATAAGAACTTTTATAAAAGATTTTTAAAAAAAATTAAAAAAAACTTTTATAAAAGATCATTGATTTTTTAAAATATAAATATGACCTTTGAGCTTTACGTTGTTCACCTTGCCTTTGAGAGGGTTGGGGTGGAGGGGGTGATCTCATTTTCTACGAATTATTTTCTCTAAACATGGCTAATATGAGAGGGTTGGGGTGGAGGGGGTGAGCTCATTTTCTACGAATTATTTTCTCTAAACATGGCTAATATATTTCATTTTCAGGGTTTTTGTATTTACTTTGCTGTTCTATTTTTGTTGTTCATAACTAGTTCGGTCTGTTTGCTCGATCACAAACATTTTGTTTTTTGGCGAATGAGGAAGCAGACGGCATACCAAAAAAGTGTTAACAATCATCTAGCTTGAGAAAGCACATAGGAGTGGATGAAAACTTGCCCTCTAAATGTCAAGGTTGGTAGAAGCTTAAACTTCATATTATGATTACCCCCAACCAATGGAAGAGATCTGTTTCATGATGATTACGTGGCATATAAAACTAGAACCTACTGACCAATGCTGGATAAAACTTTAAAAAAATCTTCTTCAATATCTTGAAAGTTCCGATGCTTTTTCCTTACGTGTTTGTCATGGAATTTAATAATGTGAAGGTTACATGCTCAGGGACTCTTCGTAATTGCGTGGTGTTTTTCCTCCTTTGCCCTTGCGTCATCAATAAAGGCTTCACGTGCATTTACCGAGAATTTGTGATTTGTGATAAACATAATGGTAACAATGTTTAAAGGAGAATCAGGCAGTCTCCATCAGTTATTACCATCAGAAAGGCCTTAAAAACACATTGTTTTTTTGCAGTTTGTAGTTGTAAGACGTTTGTAAGTTTTTTTGTTGTTGTAATTATATGTATATATGTAATTTTTATTTTCATTCACTGTAAGCGTTTTGGGCCTTATGGGGAAGAGCGCGATATAAGTAATACTAATAATAATAGTAATAATAATAAAGGAGAAGGTTTAGAAGAAATTTAGGCGCCAATTGTTGCCAGTACCTAACTATAATCAGCATATTAACAAACAATGACAACAGCAATAACAACAGCAAAGACAACCTGGTTGCTTACCAAAACTGCATTACTGTATATATGGAAGTAGCCTGACTAGTAGCATCCAGGCAACACCAATCGTTCTTTGTCGCAAATAAATCTTCAGTTTCGTCTTCAACAGGATGCTTTGTGAACGTCTTGAGAACATTTTGTATCTACTGGTTAACTGTATTTATTTTTAATTTTGCTCGATTTTCTCTCAGGCTCGATTTCGGGATCATGTAGGACTACTGTACTTAGGATAATTAACCTAAGAGCAACAACCTACGGACAACTACGTCTAATTCAGTTACCCCTAAGTAGATGTCAAAGGGTCATTGGGGTAATTGTCCTTTAGGGCTTATTTCGGGGTAGTTGTCCTGATATAACATATTCATTTATTTGTTCATGTATTACATACAATTTTTCGGCCTCATCAACTTTATGCGTGATGTCACTCAGCATTAGCATCAATCATTATTTTGTTTTATAATAAAAAAATAATATTGCTTTTACAGATCGAGGTAAATCATCTCTCCAAGCATGCCAGGTATAAGGACAGCGACCCAATTTAAAACGAGATTAATTCAAGATGACCACACGGGCTGTATTTAATCTGGAATAGGCTGTCTTGAGCGGCTAGGCCTTTATCTTTGAGGAATTCTTTCATTAGGAATAAACAGTAAGACGTAGGTTTTTTTCAATCTCATTTCGCCATTATCTCTTGATCTGGTCCGCCGCTTGGAGTGTGTTTGTAGCTCATTCACCTGGAGAAAGGTTGCAGGGAAGGGAAATATTTGAACTTTTTAATAGAGGTATATATAGGGTTTTACCGGGATAGAGAGAGAGAGAGACGGACATTGCGGGAGAGAGACTTGGAAGAGACTTGGAAGATTATATGAAGACAAAGAGATGAAGATATGAAATAGATATAAATAGAGATAGCGGACAGAGAGAGTGAGGGGTGTGAGTGGGAATGAGAGGGAGGGAGGGACGGAGATAGAGAGAGGGAGGGAGAATGGGAAAGAGATAGAGAGAAAGAGAGAGAGAGAGAGACGGACATTGAGAGAGAGAGAGAGAGGGAGAGAGAGAGAAGGGTATAGGAAGAGAAAGAGGTCAAGATATAAAGTAGATAGAGGTATTGAAAAAAGCGAGAGATAAATAGAGATAGCGGACAAAGAGGGTGAGTGTATGGGTGGAGGCGAGAGTGAGGGGTTGGGTGGGTGGAAGCGAGAGTGAGGGGTTGGGTGGGTGGGAGCGAGTGTGAGGGGTGGGGTGGGTGGGAGCGAGAGTGAGGGGTTGGGTGGGTGGAAGCGAGAGTGAGGGGTTGGGTGGGTGGGAGCGAGTGTGAGGGGTGGGGTGGGTGGGAGCGAGAGTGAGGGGTTGGGTGGGTGGAAGCGAGAGTGAGGGGTGGGGTGGGTGGGAGCGAGAGTGAGGGGTGGGGTGGGTGGGAGCGAGTGTGAGGGGTGGGGTGGGTAGGAGCAAGAGTGAGGGGTGGGGTGGGTGGGAGCGAGTGTGAGGGGTGGGGTGGGTGGGAGCAAGTGTGAGGGGTGGGGTGGGTGGGAGCGAGTGTGAGGGGTGGGGTGGGTGGGATCGAGAGTGAGGGCGGGGTGGGTGGGAGCGAGAGTGAGGGGTTGGGTGGGTGGGAGCGAGAGTGAGGGTGGGGTGGGTGGGAGCGAGAGTGAGGGCGGGGTGGGTGGGAGCGAGTGTGAGGGGTGGGGTGGGTGGGAGCGAGAGTGAGGGCGGGGTGGGTGGGAGCGAGAGCGAGGGATATATAGAGGACATATTGAGAGGGGGTAAGATGGACAAGATACAGAAAAAACTATTTTCCATCTAAGAGTGGCCGTCTGTTTGTGTGGATGATTGAAGGTGGGTGGTGGATGTGTGTGTATGTATGTAAGAGAGAAACAAAGAGATGGAATGTGGGGGTGGGGGAAAGGGGGGGGGGGGGGGGGGGGGGGGGGTAAAAAACGACGTAGGGGAGAGTGAGGGACAAACAAACTTACACAGTTTGATTTTAAGTAAACGAAATATGAGACTTAAAGAGAAGGTTGAGTTCCGGGGAGAGGTGAAGAAAAAAATTTGTGAGCGTTATCATTGTTATCATGCAAGTGTAGAAAAACATCAGAGAAAAATTGTTCCCTGAAATGCATGGCTTTTTAACTGCCTTCATATTCTACATATGACAAATAACAGCTTAAAACTGAGGCCCGATTTTTATGCCACATGGTTGTGTAGTCCCTTATATACATCTTTCTATGTAAAATGCTTGTTACCGTACCAAGACTGGGCCGAATTTCATATCAGGTTGATGATTCCAGAACCTTGCAGTACACACCAATACTTATATGTGCTACATGATCAGCTTTTTCTGATCAAATCCACACCGTTTCTGTCACAATGCAATCGCATGACCAGAACGAAAGAACGATTAACGATCAGAGAGAGAGAGAGAGAGAGAAGGAGGGAGAAAGAAATGGAGAGAAAGAAGAAAATACGAAACGTAATATTAAAACAAAATCAGAGAAAGGAAAAATAGAGTGCAGGAATAGACTGATTAGAGCAGGATGAGAGTTGGATAAGGCGTGCTTTGTTTTTCTTTTTAATGTGCGCCACTTTTGCCAGTGTAGTCGCCTAATGCCTGTTAAATCTGGGCGCTATGGAGACTCGCCTGGTATGTCAACAGTTCTCCGATTCAATCAGTGAAGGCTCTAGGCCAAATATTTCTAGCAGCTCTGTGCCATTCGGAATTAAGCCGCCAATTGGTGCACGAAATGACTGCGTTGAGCCGAGATACTCTCTCGCTTCCGAGGCGTGGAAAGACTTGAATACTGATTGCGTCGTGGAAAGTGACACGGTATAAGAATCCCAGACGTGAGTTTAATAGACATTGTCAAATTTTCGAAAAAAAGACCTTCGTTATGGATTTGTCCCATCGATAAATCCCCAGGAATGTTTGATTTATTATTGCATGTTTCATGAGGGTTCGAAACTTGTTAAAGCTAAACACTGCACTGAAGATTGGTCTAAACCATTTCAAAGACAGACGCATTTCATTTCGATAAACTTTTTAAAAATGCATCCCCATCATCTTAAGAAGTTTCATTTATGATTTTCAATCGACTCATTGACAAGTCTATAATTTCCCCCCTTTTTTTTTACAAAGTTAAATTTTGAGGATTGAAACACATTTGTTGTCTCTGCTTGAATACCAAAGTTCTACATCAAACAGTTCTTTTCCAATATCCCATTTGTTCTAATTACAGTTACGAATCTGAGGGCTGTATCGTCTGTCATGGTATAATGTTCTATAAAATGTTACAAAGTTGCAATAGATACGTTTGTTTGTCGTTCCAAATACTTGGGAAGGGGGGGGGGGTATAAGGTTGTCGACCAAGGTTTTATTTTGTGGATTCTTGTTCTACTTTTGTAATGGCACATGTATATGATTACGTGTCTACGTGATCAATTTATAATACTCATTTTGTAAACCTTTTCATTCTTTATTTCGGTAAGTAATTTTATATTGATAATGATACATGTATATGATTAATTGCGTTTTTTGAAGATAATGGTGCAAAATAAAATGTGTGGATTCTGTTTCAATAAGTTGATTTTCATGTCGATTTGATTTGTTGATTAGAAGGGATACAAATACCAAAAAAAAGGAGATAAAAACTTCCAAAGTATCGAATGTATTCGTTGCCTTCGAATGTATAGGCACTGCAACTGAACACTTGTAACAATCATTGCCAGAGTGTCTCATAACACTTCCAATCATGATGAAGGTTTCAGCTGTTACCGATCCCGATTGATTGAGGGTTGATTGGAAGTTGTGACGCGGTTCAACTTGAAATGGTGTTCCTCAAGGTCACGTTTTTTGAGCAAAATGCCTGGGATTAGAAAACTAAAAAGCGTACTGAATTTAATCCAAGTTAAGACCCCGACTATATAGATTTTGAATATGCAAATATTTATTGAGCGATACGTGTTAACCTATTCTTTCCGTCAAAATCACCATTATAATGTAAAAAATTACACAAACAAAACTTATGAAATTGACGTTTCTTTGTCAAAAATAATTGGATGATTTAACTGTATTGTTTTAAAATAATCTCATAAGAAAGATAATAATATTATGGATTTATATGGTACCCGACACATGTATAGTGTCTCCAAGTGCGTTACAGATATACCAACATCCCGGTCATCGCTTCTGGCTTGCCCGTACACAATGTATGCACCATGTCCACTTCCTATGGAGCATTCCAGCCAGGCGCCTTTTTCTTAGACGTTCGCAATGCTGAGTAAACTACAAAGTTTTTAGCATCCTCAGTATCAGGAACCCATTTAACACCTGGGTAGAGAGAAGCAGTGCAGATAAAATGTCTTGCTTAATATCCTTAAGGGCAGTTTCTGTCACAAATTTGTTGTAATCAATACGAAAGTTAATGATAGCACACATTGCTCCATAAGAAGGGTATACGAAGGTAGATCATGTATTAAAAACTTTTTCTACCTTTATAAATTCGAGCAAGTGTGTTTTCACGGTGCATCTAGATTATTTGTAACCATTACGATTTGTAATTTCTTTAATATCGAGAGCTTTTATTCTTCGGCAGTATCGAATACAACAGGAGGATATAGAGAAAAGGTTTGTTTACCCCTCGATTTTTTACATAAGGGGGGGGGGGGGGGTCAGTGGCTAAATAATAACCACACTTTCCGGACTAACGAATCGACTCTTTGGACTGTATATTACCTTTAAATGTTGCCACGATAGATCGCAAAGTAATAGTTCTTACGACCAAATAGTAATACGAAAACTTGTAACTTTGCGAAACGAGATCAATATAATGTTTCGCAATAGGGGATAATCAATAGCTTAATTACATTTAGAAGTTGGATACAAAATGTCAGGTCTCTTGTGAGCAGCTGGGATTATACGATATATTCATTTCATGCATTGATTGCGAATATGTTCTTGACAGTTTAACATTAATAGCACTCGAACTCCTTTTCCCTCTGAGGCGAGCTCCAGCAATCAAACATGTTCCTCTCATCTTTTTCTGGATTGCATTGTGCAGATTATCGTTTGTTGCTCTGGTGATACTCGTCCCAGAAGTGACACGATTTGCCACACTTCAAGAGAGGAGCTTGGATTTTCTTTTCGCCCTACTTCATTCAGCCGTAACTGAGGAAGCAGCTCGTGACCGCCTAGAAGTCAAGACGAAGCAGAAGGATGTCAACCATTTTCCACTCGACAGTTCTCCAAGCTTTAGGTGTCATTAATTCCCAAGTATCGTCGCGACTAGACCTAGTAACGCCATGACTTTTAGCTGCTTCTTTCCCGCCGCCGAAAAACACCTGTCTGCGAGCCGCGCCTCCGATGCCTGGTCGCAGACAGCACCCGATCCGCTTGTTAGACGCTGTGTGAACACGTTGCTCACGGGGCTATACACAGCTTAGCCCGCGGGGAAGCAGCGAATTGTAAAGGATAGTGGGTGGTTGAATCAAGTTACACTCTCCATCATACCTTGAGAGCGAATCTTCTCTCTTGATTAACTATCGCCAGACGCGTTGCCGACAGCCATCTCACCATGGCCATGGATGACCTAGAAGAATAATAAAAAGAGAAGATAAAAAGATAAATGATTAGGGGAAGGTAGGCCTAAAGAGAGAAAGGGATGACGGAAGGAGGATAGAGTGTGGGAGAATGCGAGTGGTACGCATAGGGAGGGTGTGCAGAAAGGGAAAGTAATGGATTGGAGAAAGCAGGTAAGGGACGATAGCTACAAATAGAAATAAGGTGAGAGAGATAGATAAAGAGATAAGTCATTAGAGAAAGGTAAAGGTAAAGAGAGAGAGAGAGAGAGAGAGAGGGGGAGGGGAGATGAAGTAAGGAGGGTAGAGTGACGGAATGCGGGTAGTACACAATTTAACATATAAGGGGTTTGACAGGTGAATTTAGTTTGTTGGCGCCTGTGAGCAATGCAAAGAAGGAGTTTTTTCGCATTTACCTAAAATGCTGATTTCCAATGTATTATGTATTATCAAGGCTCTTCGACATGTAAAACAAAACGAATTATCAACTGTGCGTCTTCATCTGCACGCTGGTCAAAACGAGTAAGAACTCTCTAACTTATACTACCCAACAAATTAAATGCTAAGGTAATAAATGTCGTCAATCATGAATATTGTACACCTCTTATCTGCATTTCAGTCGTCTCCCATATAGCTTCAAATATCTTTTAAACTGACCTGACTTAAGTTATCTTTAACAAGTAAACTAAATGAAATTTGTTATCAACAAGTGACGATGAAGATTTCTGTAACTTTATTTCCTCATATTGCATGGAAAGATATTAACTTCCCTCTTTATTTGGACTAGTTGAAGCATTGGCTGATTTGAGGAGGCATAACCAGCCCGTGTCCAGCCCCCATGAAACAAAATCTGGCATTTTGTAAGTACACGAAAATGTGCCTCTCTTTTTTGTTTTTGCTTTTCAGAGATATTGTTTCGTCATTTGTTGATTATTTTGGATTGAGTTTGCACCTTAAAGATATCGTACCATTTTTTTCTTTCAGTGGGTTTCGTTTTTTTTTCGTGCTTCCCCATTTAAAAAAATCCTCGATCCATCCCATAGTCAAGGCATATTCATACATGTACTGCATTGTCGTACGATGTGACCGACAAGAAATTAAAAAAAACTAATCACATAAAGTAAAATCTGCCTGTATTATGGTGGAAAAAAGAATGCCCTTAGTATAAATATCAATCCTTG